ACCTAATTAGGGCATGGCATCGCAGCCCCGATGTCGGATGCCACAATTTTATAGATGATAAAATGTGCATCCACCGTCAACCATAACAGTTTATGGCACCCAGGCATTGGGATCAAGCACAGTGGTGCACATCAACAGAATTTAATATGTACACAACACCTCAATGCCTCAAGTAGTAGAACACCGCAGCGCCAATGTTGGGAGCCATGTCGCCTCACCTAAAATTATATTTTTGGCCACCTGAAGGAAGTATTATATGGGTTTGGCACTGCAATGCTAAAGTGCCTATAAATAAGGGATAAACCTTAATGGTTCAGTAGTGTTAATTTCCGACAGTGAGGTCCTATGCTTATCTCTTTATTTTATAAATCTCTATCAAATGATGACACACCAATCCAGTAGTAAGGCAAGGTTAGTGAACAGTTGTGCTCCTCGCCCCATCCTGGACGTTGATTTCAATGATGAAACCTCCAAAGGTAGCTCTATGTCAGTATTCCCCATAGTCCAGAAGTTCTTAGATGTGCATGCTTGGTTCTCCAAAATGGAGGAATCTCATCGCACCCCAATGTTCAAGCATATCCACAGGATGAGGAATGACATCGCCATCGTCAATCGCAGACTGAACGTTCTCGTGGATGGCTAGATCACATCTTAAAATGCTCAAGTGTACCAAGTGGTCGCATTTTATTTTAGATGACTAACATGTTTATTCCTATAAGAGGTAGAAGAGAGCGCTCCAACATTCCCCTCGAGAGCGTAGTCCATGGGAAGGGACAAGCATAGAGGCAAAAGAAAACATAACCATACATAGATGGCTACCTAATCCTTAGGGATTACATAATCACTCCACCCCATTTGATACTCTCATACCTGTATTTTCCTTTTTACATTTAATTATGTAGGATATGTCATGTGTTGTGTTTATTAATGGGTCCTTGTTAGTCAACCTTTGAGTTTAATGAAAAAAATGTGATTTTGCCTCATAATAATTTGATGTGTTGTCTGTTATTTATTGATGGGTCTTTGTAAGTCATCACATCGAGTTAATCTAAGATTAGATTGTACTATGCTACAAGTGTTAAAAGAATATGGATTGAGGGATGTTTAACCATTAAGAAGAACACTTTATCACAATTAATCTCTTCTCATTGTGCAAAACCTTTTGCTACTAATCTTGTTTTGTACCGCACATCAGCTCCATGAGATCCTTCCTTCTTTGTAAACAACCATTTGCATCTAATGACTTTCCTCCATTAAGAATGCTTCACCAACCTTCAAGTATCATTCTTGTAAAGCGGCTCCATCTCTTCATCCACTGCCACTCTCCAAAGATCACAATCCTGGATCTCATAGCTTCTTTATAGTGACAAGGAATTTTTGTATTTGTGAATAAAAGTTTAAATACAATGTGATCCCTTAACCAAGCTAGTTTTGGGACATTCTGGAGTCTGATCTTGCTCCTAGCAATAGATTCCTGAGCATGAATCTCATCCTTAGAATCTTCTTCCACATCCTCCTGAACGTATCAACAGATACCTTTCGATCTGCAATTGAATTAGATATCTGAGTCGGAGTGGAAAATCTCTTTGGAACAAATAGATTTATATCAAACTCCAACTTTTGCTACATATTTTTGGTTCTAGTACAAATATTTACCTTCTTTAATTCCTGTTTTTTCAGCAAGCTTGTCTTATCAAATATAACATCATTGGTAATGAGAACCTTTTTTTTACTGATCATACAACTTGAAGCCCTTGAGTTCATGCCTAAAGTCAATGAAGATTGTCTTCTTTGCTTGTTGTTCTAGTTTATTGTTCTACACATGGTAGTAAGTTAGACATCCAAACATTCTCATGTGTTCATATCTCTAGCAGCATGCCCTGACCACTTCTTCTTTGGGGTCTTCATCTCAATAGCTACAGAAGACATACAATTCACAAAGTGACAATTATATTTCATCAGCTTCGTCCAAGGATAACATACACTAACTTACTTCAACAAAGTATGGCGCATCCTCTCTTTCAGTCTGTGCTACTTTGGTGTGTCTAGAGAAGTTGTGCTCTATCCTATTTGTCTAGCACTCTTGCAAAAATACATCTGAAGTATATTCACCCCCATTGTCTGATCCACTGGATCTTTTTACATATATAAGTCTCAATACACGTTTTCTAAGTAATGAAAATATTTAGCACTTCTCATTTTTCTTCATGGTGTAAACCCAAACATATCTAGAGTAATCATCAATAAAAGAGCAAAGTATCCCCTCCAGCTGAATGAAGATATCTTCATTGGACCCCAAACATTAGTGTGAACATACTCTAAACTATCTTTTGTATTGTTAATGGTTGTTCTAAAAGTTACTCATGTCTACTTGCAAAACACAAAATGTTCATAGAAATTAAGTTTGCAAATGTTCTTTCTATTTATCAATCCTTTCTTCACAAAAGCTTGAAGTGAAAACTCTCCAGCATGAGCTGGTTGCATATGCCACAACATGGTAGCGTCAGAAGAATTATCAGCAGTAGTAGCTATTTCAGTCATTGCACTACCGTCAAGATAGTTAATGTTGTGATGATGGACTTCCTTTAAAAAAATAATTGCCCCACAAAATATCCTCAAAAATACTACCTCAATAAATATCTTTTAGCCCTTGAACTCTAAAGCCCCAACTGACAACAAATTCTTTCTTATATGTGGATCGTGTTAAACATCAGTCAGCTCCCTCAAAGTACCATCATGCATCCTGATAAAGATACTTCCTAGACCAATAATATGCAAGATTGATTGTTGTTCATAGCCACTGCACCACTATCCATCTCCTTGTACGTACAGAACCACAATCAATGAGGACAAGAGTGATAGGTAGCTAGCTCGAATCATCTATAAACAAACTATGAGAAACTACAAATAACGATGCATCTGAATCTGTCTCTTTACATCTTTCTACAATGAAATTAACTTTCACCTCAGATGCAATTTTATTTCAATTCACCTTCAGCTTCAGATAATCTTTTTTCCAATGACCAATCTTAAACAGAACGCACACTGATTTCTTTCCAAGTCAGTGTCCACGAGACTTGTCTCACTTCTTAAAAGTGTCACCGCTGCCACGTTTCGTTAACTAATTATTTTTCTTCTTCTTCTTATTATCATATATGTCACGTTGGAGTGTAAGTGCATCATCTAATTCCATTTTTGCAGACTCTTTGTCCCTTCAACGGAACTTATGATTCAATTGTGTCGTAGCCACTTCGCCATGATGTGCGACCTCCTTCCCATGAATGTATCATAGTGAAGATTTTTTTTTTTTTTTTCATTTGGTTGCGAATTCAACAGAATGAACATCTTATCTTCATCTTCAACCTCCTCATCTAAATTTAACATATCTGCTAACAACTTTGTGAAGTCATTTAAGTGCTCTTCAATATTAATCTCCACATATCTAAAAATTTTAAATTCAACTCGTCATATGGAGACGGTTCTCTACGCTCTTCGTGAGATATTTGTTCTCTAGCATCCACAATTTCTTTGCAGAAGTCTCAATCATCACACATATTTATTCTTCTAAGTCAAGCAATTTCGGATCAAGCCACAAGCACTCATGTTCATCTTCAACACATCTCTCTCTGATATCTCTTCAACACATTTTACGTTATCCAAACTTCCTCCAGATTCAGAGAACACATCTCTTCTCTTACCCTGCATCGCCACATGCCAAAGTTCCCTTAACGTCAAATTTCATCATATCGATTTTGACAGGGATGAGTAACCACCTGATGAATCGAATTTTCCACCGTCATATTAGACATTGAAGAACTTAACGTGGTGCCATCATTCATGCCTACCACTATTGGAATTTCTTTCCCAACAAAATTCCTCTAGTATAATATCTGGAAAAAAAATAAACAATAAAAAAATAGTTCACCCAAAAAAAAATAATAAGTTTCAAAAAATAAAAATTCCATTTTTTTGTTCTCTAAACTTTGTTTTTTTTTTTTTTTCATTTTCATTTCTTTTCAAAATTCTTTTTTAGAGTAGTTCTCTTTTTTTTCTTTGAGAAAAAAAAAATCCTTCATCCAAAATTCCTTCCGTTTTCCGAAACTCCTTTCTGTTTTTTAAAATACTTTCTTAAGAAAAAAAAAAAAAAACTTTCCCATAAACTTTCCCATAACTCTTTTCCGTCTGGTAGAAACTTTCCCATAACTCTTCCTTCAGGAAGAAATAAGAGATTCACTTACTTTGGTTCACTTCCCGATTATTGGAAAGTTACAGCTGCCGACGCCTCCTTCTGCCGAACCGTGGCCGGGACTGTGCGCCGCAGTCGCAAAAAAATTCTCACATCATCGCAACGTTGTCGACACCGAATCATGCTCCAATCACGAACATGAAGCATTGATAACAATTGTTATGTGAAAAAACTGCGAAAACATAAAATTTCACACAGAAACGATCAAACATAAAAATTTACATGATTTTACGTTTAGTTAAGTCGTGTACGTCCACTAGCACCTGATGGAGAAAGGAAAACAATTTTGAGTTACAACTGAACACATCTCACCATAACTCTCTCATAAGTCCTTAAATCACTTTTATAGAGTTGGATTGGGACATATAATTAAACAAAATAAAATGACAAAATTATCCCTAATCAAACCAAAATCATAAATACAACATAACGCCAATTGGTTCATGCGGTCAAGTAATTATCTTTTTTTGCCATTTAATTGTAATTTTTATTCAAAAATTGCAATGCCCAAAATAATTTCAAACTTGTGTCTTAAAATTTTAAAAATAAACAGGACACTAATAATATAACCAAAAAATTCGAATCTTAAAAACTCATGAGGATAATACAAAACATAATTAAAATAATCATCGTACGAGAAGCCTGCGGTTTTTTTCAATGTTATTTTTACACCATTCTCTGTCTCTCTCTATCCTCTTTTCTCACCAAAATATTTCATCATTGATATAAATTTAATATTAATACAGTGCATCGGTCAACAAAAGAATTCCTTCTCTAAGATACATGAAAGTCCAAGCTTTGTTATGACAGAACAAATAAAACAACAATCAAATGGGTTCATGCATGCATTCCATTTCACGACGCCTGCATGCAATCATCTCCCTTATAGACATCTCCTAAGTTTTCTTTCTTAATTTTATCCATCTAAAACAGAACAATCCATCCCCAATCACTTCTCTATATCAATCACAACATGCGGCGGACTCTCGACGCCGGCGATGGGTTTCACAGCGCCGGCTTTCCGACCATGTTCCGGCCTTTGGAACTCCGCCAACCGACCGAGCTCCTCGACCGCAATAACGACCTGGTTGGCGCACCGCACCACTTCTGTTAAGAGTGAAGCGATAGTGGCTAATCTGAGAATCTCCAGCATAGTAGAATCTTCAGCGGGCACAATCGCCTTCACACTGCTGGCGGCTGCCATGGCTTTAGCCAGGTGTTGTCCGGCTGCCGACGACCACTTCATCTGCCGTATTGCAGAGGCCAGCTCAGCCAAGGCCTTCCCTGTTTCCGAGCTCATCTCGGCGCATGCAGTTTGAATCTTTTGCTTGAATTCTGGGTCTGATGCTGTTGTCTGAGAGGATTATGAGTTTGTTAGTAAAGGATGAATGGATGTTATAAAAGGAGTAAGGAGTAAGAAGCAGCTTGTTTACGTGGTGGGATTGCTGGAGAGTAGAAATGTAGGCGTTGAGGGCTTCAATGGAGCAAGCAAATTGGCGAGTGATGGCTCCGATTTTGAGGTATTGATTCCATGGATGACGGAAGCTGAAAGGACCGTGGCCGGGCTCCCATCTTGCGAAGTTTGCCTTAATTAGAATTAAGAAGACACGATTAGCTTAATGAATTATAAAGATTAGGAAGGATGTCATGGTTTTTTTTGTAATTGACGCGCAGTAGGCATAAATTATGGTTTTACTGCAAGTTAGGTGAGCAATTATTGTAATCCACGTGTTTAATTTCTTACAAGAGAATCCTCTGTGGCCTTTGAATTAAGCACGCTTTTGTAGCTTTGAAGGAAGGATTTGCCTTCCACATTTCCATTTTCCATCTTCTCCACGAAGAATTCCGCTCCCAGACCTTCAAGTTTGCATCACAGGGAAAGTTAGCTAAAGTGGAAATAATCAAATGTTTTATATATTGAACACATGCAAAGTGGTGCTATTTTATTTGGTTCATCGAATTTTTCAGTTAATGTGTCGGTATGACTAATGCTGACCTGTAAATATTTCTCATAAATCAATTTGACCCTCGAGTAAGCAAATCAAAGTTCATACATCCTAAAATTAGAAAATATATTATGTATCTTGCCCACAGCGTTTCCACAATGATGTGAATTACATAATGTTCCACAATGATGTGAATTACATAATGTAAGTCAATAATCGCGTGGTATAATTCATGTCGTTTTTGTTGAATGTTTGTACACAATATCTTTTTGTAAAATCCAATGGGCTACTAGATTCCTTGTGAAAAGCTAGGAAAATATCATTCAAAATTTACAAGGGCCGTAAATTTAATAATTCACATGATTGTAAGAAAAAAATTTAAATCATGTATAATTGATTTGCTGGAATTTAATGGGAAAATCACCCAACCTTTTTATGCTTTGAGCAAGCCCACCATTTCCCACAATAAAACTAATTGAAACTATAATCATATATTCCATCAAGTAATGAATGACAACAATTGCTAGTTAACATTTGCAATTTAAGTAAATATGAATTAAATAATAAATTAGTTATAAATCAATAGGTCATGAATAAAATACTTCATCACCAATATATCTAAATAATCATCTTTAATCATTAACCTTTTTAATCATATCACTAATAACCATCCATATTTTAAATAAACATAACTAAAAAAATAAAAAAAATGAGATTAAGAAATACATTAGCTTCCACTTTATAAAAAAATATGATTAACAGTACAAGCTTTTTAGTCACATTAAGCAATATGAAATAATTTTTATAATGCCAAGTCTAAAAATAGGATGCTAGTTTCTCTGAAGAAATTATGCAACAACAAAACTGCGATCATTTCTAATGAGACAGCCTATTTAAGTGTTCTTACTACCCTGTCTTGGCTTCTTTTGCATGCAAGTGGGTTAATTTGCTGTGGTGCCTAAGACCCACTGCCTCAAATACCTAACAACGAATATTTTTTACAAGTGGCCACTTAGAACTCACACGTTCCAGAAGGTCCCAAATTTAAAAAGTAAGCTTAATTTTTTTTTTTCAAGTAAGGCTTACAACTGGCAAGAATATAAAATCCAATTTTATTAGCAAAACTTCTTATGTATTTTATGTCATAAACATTATTATGGACCAAACACTATATTCTTAGCTGCTTACCTTCTAAAAAGCATGCAAGCTTGTCAAGATTGGCAGCCACCAGCTTATGGAGATCTCCTCCGGCCCAAACCGGGAAGACAAAAAGGGAGGTGAAGAGGCACGTCGCTACACCAATGGCTACAGTCGACAATCGCTGGTGCGCGAGTGAAATAAGTTCTTCCACTCTGTAGCTCGATACAGACACAAGGCTGAATGTTAGTATAAATATCGTCACCCCGTAGTCATATCTCGCCTTTATCTCAGGCACAAACCGAGAGAATGTCGCCATAGTGGCACCAGAACCTCTCCGAATTTAAAAAAAAAAAAAATGCTTATAAATATCAATATATAAATGTATTGATAGATATATAGATATATAAACCTATGGTTATCATATTACTTTGTTTCCTTACCTAGCATGAATACAAATATACTCATTAGTATGGGCTCCCCTTTTGCACCGGCAAGCGAGGCCAACTGATGTGCACCCAGCCCAAGTGCTCCGGCAAGCAGTGTTGCAAATGCCCGGTTGAGGCCTTTGCTCAATGTTCCACCTGGAGTTTTAAAAACAAATTAAATCTTTTTTTTTAAGTATTTTTACTCGGATACAAATACAATTTTCTTATTATATAAAAACTAAATATGTATATTTTGTTATAAATTAAATGAAAATTGAGATAGGTGGATGAATTCATACCGACGGTGTACTCCATGACGACGACGACGGTAAGCACCGCCCACATAGTTGAAGAGCCTAGCCCATTGAAAAGAGGAGTGACATAGTAGAAGATTGAGACGAGAGTGAGAGCTATTCCTACTTTGAGGGAATGAAGAATCCTTCTTGGGTCTTCCTTTCCAATCTTCTTAATCTTCTTGCCAAGCTTTATGACCTTTCGCAATAAATTGTGGATGAGAAATGGGCACCATGGGTTGGAACCAACCTTCTCATTGGCTCCGGAAGCTTTATCCATGGCTGATTTTTGATCGGTGGAGGCGTTTTGAAGCTAAGTTTTCTGCTACTTGAGGTTGCTGTATGTAGTCAGGAGCCGGGGATGGTAACGGGGCATTATATATAGGAAAGGAGGCAGAAGCGAGGCAGGAATGTGCTGGAAAAAAGGTTGGCTTTTCGATCGACAAGGAAAGCACTATTAGAAGCTGAGGATTACTGTTTGCTTTTTTGCTTTACAATGTTTGAAATCTTGAATGTTGAATGGCTAGTGCTATTATCATATAAGTTCTTACAATTATATATAATTCTTTTCTATTGGGATTTTATAGGACGTTGTAAATCAATGTAAATGGAGTTTCTCTTTTTTCATCATTTTTGTATTCAAATTTCCTTGGATTGATATTTAACAATGGGCTGTTTGTTTGCGAGAATATCATTTGGGTACCATAAAATAAATTAAATTTCATAAATTTAATTAAAATTATTATTATTATTATTATTACTGTTATATTATTACTGTTATTAATTTCATTAGTTCAATTAAACATAGAAGGAATCTCGTGGATGTATATGCAATGTAATCAAATTACATTATAGCTAAAATAAAATACACACACACACACACACACACACACACACAAAAAATACGCACACACACACACACACACACACACACACACACACACACAGACACACGCACACACTACATGAGCGTTTTAAAAGAATTCTTTAATTTATCTTTAGCTAATGTGCCATAGGCTCAAGTGCATGATTTCAAAGAGAGGAAGAGAGAAAAGGGTGAAGTGCACAGCGACTTGCTCATCTGGGGCAAAAATAAGGTATTCTGGAGTTGTGTGACCCATTTTATACGTAAGTTAAGGAGGTTATATGATAAATGGGAAAGAGACTCCCGAAATAAAGAAGGGTCAAGAGAGAGAATTAAAAAAAAGATCTCTAATACATGAATTGGTCCCCTTGATTTATAAGAGAAAGAGGACATTACTAAAAAAAAAGAATTTTGGCAGTATTTATTTAAAGGCCCTCTTAAAAAACACTGCTAAAAATATTTTAAAAATGCATAAAAATATTTAAAATCGCTGCTAAAATTCTTTGCTACAATTTAAAATTTGTTGCAAGGAGCTTAGCTGGGATTATTTTTTACTGTTGTGGATGTCTGTATAAAGTGCTGCAAAAATTTTATTTCTGTAGTGGGGATAAAATATAAAATTACATGTTTTACTCCTGCTTCTGAGGGGTTCTACAGGGCATTTTGGTTTTTTGGCATGCCTGGATCTTTTGCTCGTCAGGGTTTCAGGTCGGCCAACTGAGTTGTTTTTTGTCAGCCTTCATCTTAGCACCAATCGGCTTGTGAATGGGAAGCCAGTCGGCTTTCCTGATTTTTATTCCATTGTGATCATTGATTGAATTAGGTTTTAGCATATGTATTGTTTTTTCTTATATGCCTTCTATTAATTCTATTGTGAATTTAATTTTTTGAAAGCATATCATTAAATAGTAGTGACAAGTAACAAGTAATGATTTTTTCATTAAGGAATTTAAATTAATGGAGTTATAAGAATATGTTAGATGATTATCATAAAATTATTGTTGTAAGCTTTGGGTAAAAATACATGACACATTGCATATATCTTAGCCAAGCCAATGGCCCCAAAAAGTAATCACTTCATTAAAACTCATTGAAGTTTCATGTATTGTTGCTTAGCCTTTTTGTTTCAATGCATCTTGATAATGTTGGCTATAAATCTATAAGCAAAAGTACAAAGAAGTGATTTAAAAAATAAATATACATATATATATATATATATATGCTTGATTATATTGGAGATGATTGTATATCGAACAAATTCTAACGTGAATATTTATTAAAAATTCTTTACTAAAACAATTAGATGGGATTGGTCCCCCTTCATGGGAGACTAGATTGCCCCTCTAAATCATCCATTAAATGGGTGACTAATGCTTGGGTAGCCCAACCGACTCGTCAATTTTATTTTTTATTTTAAATATTCCAAGTTATTTAGATAACTAATTATTAAAATATTTGTAAAAATTAAAAAAATCAATTTTAATAAAATTTATTTAGAATTTTTGTTAAAATATTTCATGAGTTGTAGTTTGTTTTGAAATCTTTTTTCAGAATTAAATTTTTACTAAAAGAAAATCCAAGTAGATCTTTACCCAAAGAACAGCCAAGTAGGAATACAACCAATTTTATTGCCAATAAAATTTTATTTTACAGCAATCATCAGAATAAATAATTAGGAACAACATAGTACATTAAGAATAAAAAACAAATATTTTCTCAAACAATGACAAATAAAAGAATAAGCAAATTAACATGCAAATTAGAGAGATTATTGCGTGTGGATGGCGCACGCATCTGGTGTGCGCCGTCCAATGAATTTTTTTAAAAAAGAAAAAATTAAAAGTAGGCCCACTGACATACATTTTTTGATAAAGGAGGAGTTTTTATTGACTCACCGCACGCATCTCAATGGGCGAACACATTAATTTTACTGCAAATCAAGACACTTGCCTCTTTGTGTTGCAAATATATTTCCATTTACAGCTAAGTTTCAAAAACAAAATAGTGAAAACATTTTAAAGTTCTTGAAATAGTTATAATTAACAAATTAGAAAATCTAAAAACATCAAGTTAAAATTTTTTTAATTGTTAAAGATCATATATCAGCCCTTTTTTTTTCAATGTGAAGTTTATAATTATGATAAAATTTAAGAAAGTAATTTTAAAATTCCAAATTTTATTAAATTTATAGAATTTTTTTTAAAAAAAATTAAACATATTTTACTAGTTTATATTGGTTTTAAATTATTTTTATTTTAAATTTCATATTAATAAAAAAATTATTCAAAAGTATTTCTAAATTTTTAAAATATTTGATATAACATTTTTAAATATTTATAAATTTAATGCATTCACTACTGAGATTAGACAGCTTCAGAAATTAGAACAATCTGTGCATTAGAAAATGGTTTTAAGATACATGAGATGACATATTTAACTCCGCCACAAGTCTCAGGACATCGAAGAATAGCAGCTTCATTTCTTAGTTAATTTTATTATCAATCCCCATCTTTTAATCTTAGATGGACTGAACATTAAACAGCTGCAACCATATAATAACAAAGCAAATGTCTACCTTATAGTTACAAAACAACATCTACAATTGTTCAAGAGCATTCATTAAGGGTACCTAGCAGGGAAGAAGATAATGATATATATATATATGCTTGTCTTCTAAGAATAAAAGTTTAAAATGTTAAACAAAATTCTATCAAATACTTTTTTTAAGAAAAAATATTATTATAAATTATATACTACATTTAAAAATAATTAAATAAGAAAATCTTTATAACAATAGTTTAAAAAAATTTTCAAGCAAATTTTTAATAAATTATCTATATTAAGTAAATAGATTTTTAAAATTTAAAACTTATTCGATTATTTTTCTTAATTATCTAAATAAGATTAAAAATTTAAATTTTAAAAAAACAACATTAAGTTTACGCCACCGTGACGCTAATGGGTTGGGAAATATGAGCGTAGTTTGGGGTGGATAAATAGAATAGTTGTTTATTATGTATATATATATGTGCGCGCGCGCGCGCACGCGCGTGCGTGCACTCACTTTCCCCATTCATATACGTCGCCGAATGAATGGGTTACTAAAGAAGGCCATAGTCGCCCATTTCATGGGTAATTAAGCTTTCCTTTTAAATTTCTTAATGTTGTTTTTTTTTTAATTCAATTGTTAAGTTTAAGTCATCAAACTCAATTGTTTTAATATTTTCTGATATCAAGAAATACATTAGAACAGGTTTTTCAATATTATTCTTTTATTTGGTATTTCTATGCTTATATTGTAGTATTTTATTTATAGTTCCATTAGATTTAGGTAATTATTTGTTTGAATTTGTTTCTACCATTGCTTCTTTGTTGTAGTAATCTTTTTTTTTTTAATTCCATTAATAAATAAGATATTATTTACATATCTTACTATTTATTATTATAGAGTAAAATTGTTTTAATTGACCTTGACTCTGAAAACTTGTTTCTAGAATTTAGATCAATATATCTAACACGTGAAAAAAAGAGTTCAGTCGCAGCTTGCAAATGGATCACTGAATAAGGCTGTGATCATTTAATGAAAACTAATGATAAAATTTAATATTTAGTGGCATTCAATTAGGTTCATCACAGGTTCGATGAAATCCATTGGTTGTCAGATGAATCCTACGGCAGTCAGAAGAAATTAGGTCGCAACAGTAACAACACTGACTATTTGTCAATTTAAAAAGAAGTTTATGGTTAAGGGATGGTATTATTTAATGAAAAATAGTTGAAATGACTACGGAGGTGAATTAAATGGCACACGAGAAAGATTGCGGTTTTAAAATAGATAAATAATTAAAGATTTAGCGGCTGTTTAGGATAGTTCTATCAATTTTTCTTTTTAGATAATTTTGCAGTTCTGTTGGAAACTATTTTCTTGGTGTCTTTTAGAAAATTTTATGGTAGAAAATAGTTTTTTTAACTTGGCTGTTAAAGTGTAATGGTTGCTAGAAAGTTACGGTCTAAAATAAATTTACAATAGTCACCATAACATTCTGAGAAAAAATTTTTTTTTGCAGCAGCTTCACAGCTGTTTTTTCAAACAGCTACAACCGCCACAAATAAACCCTTGGAGTGATATTAGGAGAAATCAATGTTGTGCAAAATGAATGTGCTCATAAGGATTTTGTACATGCACGTAAGTAAAATCATTGTGTTTTGCGAGTGTAATATTCCATATTGTTATATATATAATATTATGTAATAATAAAATATACATACATACCACATAATTCTTATGTATTGGCATATCTAATGCTTAAAGTTTAATATTTACACTTGTCATTATACTATGTGTCTAAAGATTTTTCTAGTGAAGCATGCCCAACAATCAAAGCAGTAAAAACTGGATAGAAGAGAAAGAGAGA